CTCATCTCCCGTCTCCCCGTCTTCTCATAGAAGAAATAGAGTTCTTCTCAAAGAAGAACTAGAGTACTTCTCATAGAAGACCTAGAGGTCTTCTCATAGAAGAACTAAAGGTATTTTCGTAAAAAACCTAGACGTCTTCTCTTAGAAGACCTAGAGGTCTTCTCATAGAAGACCTAAAGGTCATCACATAGAAGACCTAGAGGTCTTCTCATAGAAGACCTAGAGGTCATCTCATAGAAGACCTAGAGGTCTTCTCATAGAAGACCTAGAGGTCTTCTCATAGAAGATCTAGAGGTCTTCTCATAGAAGACCTAGAGGTCTTCTCATAGAAGACCTAGAAGTCTTCTCATAGAAGACCTAGAAGTCTTCTCATAGAAGACCTAGAGGTCTTCTCATAGAAGACCTAGAGGTCTTCTCATAGAAGTCCTAGAGGTCTTCTCATAGAAGACCTAGAGGTCTTCTCATAGAAGACCTAGAGGTCTTCTCATAGAAGACCTAGAGGTCTTCTCATAGAAGACCTAGAGGTCTTCTCATAGAAGACCTAGAAGTCTTCTCATAGAAGACCTAGAGGTCTTCTCATAGAAGACCTAGAGGTCTTCTCATAGAAGACTTAGAGGTCTTCTCATAGAAGACCTAGAGGTTTTCTCATAGAAGAACCAGAGACTTTCTCATAGAAGAACCAAAGACTTTCTCATAGAAGACCTAGAGGACGGAAATCCTTCTTATAGAAGGCTTAAATAACTTCTCATAGAAGACCATGAGAATATTATCATTGAAAACCTAAAGATCTTCTTGTAGAAACCTTAGAGGTCTACTCATAGAAAACCTAGTGGTATTGGTTATTTTTATAGGAGATTTAAACGTTTTTTCATTGAAAAAATACACGACCTTTATAGGAGCTCTGGAGATCTTCTTATGGAAGACCTAGAGGTCTTCTCAAGGAAGACATCAAAATCTTCTCATAGAAGACCATACAAAATGGCTGAAGCCAGAACCTTAAAAATTTTGCGCAAGGGCTAGTCTTGATGAGTAGAAGTGTGATAAGGCTGGGTTTTGCAAAACTCGTACTAAAAGGGTGCGAAAGTACTAAAAATGGAATATTTTGTGTAGGATTAACGGAATCACCTAGAATTCTGAAAATTGGAATGAGAATCACTGATGAAATGTAGGATGAAGGGTTTTTGGAAATTCTATCTTTAAAGTTACGAAAACTTCTAAAATGGTACTAAACTTCTAAAATGGTACCATGTGCTATTATGTGAACGAAATTTGGTAAGAGAATCAAGGTTGGAAAGTAAATCTGATATATAAAGTTGGGTTTGGAAATGTGTACTAAGTGTGCGAACTGTTCTAAATTGTACAAAATTTGGTACAATTCCGTTTTGGGTGAATTGAAGAGCTGGAATTTTGAAATTCGGTTTTGGGGTCCCTGTTGCTAGTATTTTTGTGACAAAGGGGTAGTTTTGGAAATGTGTACTACAAGTGCACGAAAAGTTCTAAATGGTACTATATTGGTACAATTTGGTATTGGGGGAATAGATAGTGCCTTAAATCTGAAATTTGATATTAGGGTCGCTGTCCATGTGTAGCCTGGAAATATAGAGGTGGTTTCGGAAATATGTTCTATAAATGTACAAAAAGTACTGAATATTCCAATATTTGGTATTGGATGAACGAATAGAGCTGAAATCCTGAAATGTTGGAATGTGGAATTTAGATATGAGGGTGGTTTTAGAAATGTGTACAATATTTGTACGAAAAGTGCTAAAAAGTCCTAGATTTGGTATAGGATGAGCTGAAATCTTCAAAATTAATTTTGACGACTTTGTTGGTATCTGGAATTGAGATATGGATGTGGTTTTGGAAATGTCTACCAAAATTGTTCGAAAGATACTAAGTACTAATATTAAATTGTGTAAAGGAATATAGCTGGAATCCCGAAATTTTATATTAAGGTGGTTTTGGAAGTGTTTACTGTAATTGTACGAAAAGTACTAAATAGTACTTTATTTGGTATTGGGTGAAGGGATAAACCAAGAATCCCGAAATTTGATATGGATGTCACTGTTAATATCTGTGGTTGAAAAAAGGAGCTCGTTATGTATATGCGTACCATAATTGTACTAAATGGTACTAAAATTAGGTAATGGAGGAAATTACAGAGCTCAAAACCTGAAATTAGATTTTTTGGTCACTGTTGGTATCTAAGGTTGGATATGGAGATTGTTTTTAAAAATGCGTACTTTAACTGTACAAAAAGTACTAAATGTTACAAAGTTTGGTATTTGGTGAAGGGATAGGGCTGAAATCCCAAAATTTGATATTAATGTCTCTGTTGGTGGTTCTGCAAGTGCGTACTATAATTGTTCAAAAAGTACCAAATAGTACTAGTATTGCTCTTGATGTGTAGGATGGAGAAATGTAGATTGTTTTGGATATGCGTATTAAATGCTAATAAATTTGGTATTGGGTAAAGGAATAGAGCAGATATTGATATAGATGTCAATGTTGGCATCTGGAATTAAGATATGGAACTGTTTTTGGAAATTCATCCTATATTTGTACGAAAGGTAATAAATGTTACTTGAGTTGGTATTGGGTAAATGTTTAAAGCTCCAATCCCGAAATTTGATATTGAGGAAACTGCTGCTTTCTAGGGATTAAATATGGAGACTTTGAAAGAATTTTGGACAGAAAAATTTAATGTGGGTCCATTGTGTAATGGCTTTACTATTATCTTCCTCTGTAAACCTCAAAATAGAAGATTTTGAAGAAAGATTTTGAAAAAAGAGAAACTTGATTAATATATAAAACCTTGAAATTCGGATAATTTAGTACGATGTATGAGGTGTTGATTAAAAACTTTAGTCCAACTGAACAAGTTGTATATTTTAAGTACTTAAAAGGCCCAACACGAATCTAAAATTATAAATTCTTTAATTTTTTTCATTCTTGAATTCTAACCAGTAAAGAAAGTCCTAAAGTCGGGCGGGGCCGATTTTATGATAACCTACACCACTTTGCTAATTTAGTTGAACTCCACTTAATAATTAAAAGTTTTTATGGGAGAATTCAATCATACACGCTATGATTATAATTATAATTTAAAGTTCAAAGGACTAAATATGCCGAAGCATTTGTATCTTTTAAATTCGGACTTGTATTGCCCATTTAGTGCTAAATTAATTTGAGATCGGATAAAAATATATATGGGAACTATATCCAAATCTGAACCGATCTCGATAAAATTTGGCAAAGATATTTCTGTGCTGTATTTGATATATTTCTCTGAATATCGTTGTTACGGAGTGCATATTACGGCTGTGGGTAACAAATACAATAAATCGGATGAACAATATATATGGGAGCTATAACTATATCTGAACCGATCTTCACCAAATTTGGCATACTACCTTCTGGACTAAATTCGGTCGTATGTGCCAAATATTAGACGTTTGGTGCACAATAAATGGTAAATCGGACGAAGTTATATATGGGAGCTATATCCAAATCTGAACCGATCTTGATAAAATTTAGCAAAGGTATTTCTGAGCTGCATTTGATATATTTCCCCAAATATTGTTGTTACAGAGTGCATATTACGGCTGTGGAGGACAAAAATAACAAATCGGATGAACAATATATAGGGAGCTATAGCTATACCTGAACCGATTTCGATCAAATTTGGCATACTTATTTTCAGGCCTAATTTGGTTGTATATGCAAAATTCCATACTATTCGGGCTGATATTACACGTTTGGTGAACAATAAAAAGCAAATCGGACGAAGATATATATTGGAGCTATATCTAAATTTTTACCGATTATCTCCAATTTCAATAGGGTTCGTCCTTGGGCCAAACAAATGTTGTTTGCAAAATTTCATCTCAATCGAATAATAAATGCGACCTGCATTTTGTTCACAAGAATACATGGACAGACGGACGGCAGATCATCAATAGGAACTATGGGTCTATCTCGTTTCCTTTTGCCTGTTACAAACAAATGCACAAAGACATAATACCCTGACCACCTTGTGGTGTAGGGTATAAAAATATAAGATGGACTTTTTATTGACGAAACAGCGTACACTTGCTAGTTTTTTTATTAAAGTGTTTTAGTACCCAAGAAATGATGATCGTTAATAAAAACTCAAAATTAAATTTAACAAATAAATTTCCATTCACTTTTGTTTCCCCCCAAATTACCATAGCAAAACATTTAGTCCGAAGTTGTTTTTTGTTGTTCACATTTTGACCTACAAAAATAATTCTACTCTGGCAGTAGTGGAAAATCAAACATAAATTCTGAAAAACAAAAAATCATAATTTAACTACATCTGTTCATGGCAAACAATTACACATTTGACGGAGAGCAATTATTTCCAGCTGCATTCTAAATTTATAAACCAAAAGCAGAAAGAAAAAACGTTTTGCAGCAGAGGCAACAATTTCAGAATGAGTGATTATGTCGTCGTATTTTCTGCTGCTGCTGTAGGTCATTTTTTCAATGAAGTGCATTGCTGGAAAAAGAAGAGAGAGGAAAAATGCTCGACAAACGACTAGAACAACTTTCCGTTATGAATATTTAATAAGAACCGTTTTAACAATTTGCTACTGTTCTAAACTTAAAATATCTGAGAGAGAGAGGAGAAGGAGAGGGTATTGTTAAAAGTTGTTGTTTCTATAACTGCTACTGCCGGTAATAGAAAGGCAAAGGACGGCAGCGTTAATCACACCAGCAACAATGCTTGGCACACCTGTGATCTCAGCCTTTTAGATAGAAATTTTCAATAGATCACCAAATGATTGGGGAGAGGTGATGTAAACCGTTGCAACTTTGCAAATTAAATTTAAAATCGTGCACTTCCAATTATGGTCTACCTGTAGTTGGGGAGCAGCTACATGGGTTACCTTATCCAACAGGTGGATACAATTTTGCTCTTTGTAAAATTATTTATGGAATGAGAAATAAATACCCACTGGGGTATTCAGACTTACCTTTCAATTATCCTATTTTGGATTTTGGAATGAACAAGGAAATCTGTAAAAGAAAAAAAAAAACAAAAATCAGTAAAAAATTAGACATAAGAAGGTACATCTACAGAATCTAGAGGTTAAATATTTTAAAAAGGATTAAAAGGCAGATATTTTCTCTCATAAGGCCAGAAGGTATTCTCATAGAAGGCCAGAAAGTATTCTCTTAGAAAATCAGAAGGTTAGAAGTAGTCTTCTCGTAGGAGGTTAGAGGATCTCCTCGAGGAGATTGGGTCTCATAAGAGACCCAGAGCTCCTCTCTTAGAAGAACCCGAAGATCTTCTCATAGAAGACCCTGAATGTCTTCCCAAAAAGACCGCGACGGTCTTCTCATAGAAGAATGTAAAGTCTTCTCCTAGAAGATCTGAAGGTCTCCTCCTACCAGAGTTGAAGGTTTTTCGGAGAAGACTGAAAGTTCTTCTCATAGAAGAGCTTAAGGTCTTCACCTAGAAGAGCTTAAGGTCTTCGCCTAGAAGAGCTTAAGGTCTTCACCTAGAAGAGCTTAAGGTCTTCGCCTAGAAGAGCTTAAGGTCTTCACCTAGAAGAGCTTAAGGTCTTCGCCTAGAAGAGCTTAAGGTCTTCACCTAGAAGAGCTTAAGGTCTTCGCCTAGAAGAGCTTAAGGTCTTCACCTAGAAGAGCTTAAAGTCTTCACCTAGAAGAGCTTAAGGTCTTCACCTAGAAGAGCTTAAGGTCTTCACCTAGAAGAGCTTAAGGTCTTCATCATGAAGCGCTTAAGGTCTTCACCTAGAAGAGCTTAAGGTCTTCACCTAGAAGAGCTTAAGGTCTTCACCTAGAAGAGCTTAAGGTCTTCACCTAGAAGAGCTTAAGGTCTTCACCTAGATGAGCTTAAGGTCTTCACCTAGATGAGCTTAAGGTCTTCACCTAGATGAGCTTAAGGTCTTCACCTAGATGAGCTTAAGGTCTTCACCTAGATGAGCTTAAGGTCTTCACCTAGATGAGCTTAAGGTCTTCACCTAGAAGAGCTGAAGGTCTTCACCTAGAAGAGCTGAAGGTCTTCACCTAGAAGAGCTGAAGGTCTTCACCTAGAAGAGCTGAAGGTCTTCACCTAGAACAGCTGAAGGTCTTCACCTAGAAGAGCTTAAGGTATTCACCTAGAAGAGCTGGAGGTCTTCACCTAGAAGAGCTGAAGGTCTTCACCTAGAAGAGCTGAAGGTCTTCACCTACAAGAGCTGAAGGTCTTCACCTGGAAGAGCTTAAGGTCTTCACCTAGAAGAAGCTGTTCTCATAGAAGACTGGAAGTTGTTCTCATAGAAGACTGGAAGTTGTTCTCATAGAAGACTGGAAGCCAAAAGTCTTCTTATATGAAGAGATGAAGGTCTCCTCCAAGAAGGTCAGGTGGTCTTTTTATAGAAGACCTCGGAGGTCTTCTCATAAAAGACCCCGAAGGTCTTCTCATAGAAGACCTCGAAGATCTGCTCATAGAAGACCTCGAAGGTCTGCTCATAGAATATCCCGAAGGTCTTCTCATATAGCACCTGACGGTGTATTCACTTAAGGTACCCCTACTCGTCAGTTCCAAAAATTTTATTTTTTGTTTTTTGAAATATTTTAACAAGGCTGTCATCGCATTTTCTTGCAAAAACTGATTATATTTTCCGAAAATAAGCAGTTGTCAGCCTCATGGCTGACATTCCAAATCGCTTATAGCTTGTCCAGGGGTTTTATGGCAATGCTACATTCTTTTTATTGATGCCATATGCGGTGCTTGCGTTCTTAGCTTGTGGGTGTTCATTTTTCCCAGCCCCACCCTCTGGCTATGTGCGGTGCTGTAACGTCGAGACCTTAATTTGATTTTGGCCACCGAACCTCAAATATGGCTGGGGCAAATAGAGACGAAAAAAAGTAGACTAGAGCCAAAAACAAAAACAAGACTGAATGAATGGAAATGACATACTGACAAATAGTCAAAATGTCTGTCTATTTGGCGCAGGGGGGAATGAATGAACGAACTGCTTACCTTTTCGAACATGCAAACGTCGTCCGCGTCGTTCGTTTGTTGTCCAACGACGTAATTAGAAAATTATATGTTGTTGTGTATGGCTGGATGGATGAATGAGTGGCATGGAATGGAATGCTTGTAGATGGTCAAATATTTTGGGTCACATTGTCCGAACACCTACACAACCATAAAATACGTTTGTGTGTGTGTGTGCATGTAACGAATGCTCATATTTTACATGCCAAATATATACACTCATGTGAGTATTTCCATCGCAGTTTTGGTTTGGGTAGGTTATTCGGTTTATTTTGGTTTTCGAATTGACCCCAATAACTGTTCCACTTAGCTTGAATCCATGGCATTACCATAATCTTGAATTAATCGAAATAGGTTTCTCCTAATCGCTTCCCCTCTTTAGATGGTGGGATAAAGTAATTTAATCGGTGATTAACATTGTTTGATTGACATTAATTGAAAATAAATGGATTCAAAGAAGAAGCAACTGGGAAGGAAGGAAAAAACCTGTAAGGAAAAGTCCAAAGTCGGGCGGGGCCGACTATATGATACCCGACACCACTATGCATATTTAGTAGAGCTCCCGTAACAAAAGAATATATTTGAAGTAGTTCATATCACCTATCAACATTTGGTTTTAGAGCAGTTATAGTTTGGTTTCAGAGGGAACTAATGTATGGGAGGCATCTCCAATTCTGAATCGATTTTCACTAAATTTGACGGAGACGTTTTCATCTTTTATACCAAATAACATTGCTATAGAGTGCATGATATCACTTCGAGAAGGATTTTATTAAAAATGTTTATTATATCGGAGCAGAGTGCCACTAAATGGAAACGTACGTCCCGAAATTCACTCCATTTGGGCTGATATTAACCACTATTTGCATTATAAACCTGAAATCGGATTAAGGATATATATGACAGCTATATTCAAATCTGAGCCGATCTCAAAAAAAATTGGCTATGACATTTCCGAGCTCTATAAGATGTCTTGTACCAAATTTCATTTTTGTCGAATGCGTATTACGAATGTTAGGGATTTAAAGACAAAATCGGATGAAGCATATATATGAGAGCTATATGTGAACCGATTTTCTCCAAATTTGATGTACCGTCTTCTAGACTAAATTCGGTCAGAAGAAAGCACAGGTCAGGTCATTTGTATTGATATTGGCCATTTGGTGCACAATTAACCCGAAATCGGTTGAAGATATATATGGGAGCTATATCCAAATCTGAACCGACCTCGATAAAATTTGGCAGAGGTATTTCTGGGATGTATCTGATATATGGTACCAAAAACCATTCTTGTGGAGTGCATATTACGAATGTGAGGGACTTAAACACCAAATCCGATGGAGTGTATATTTGAGAGCTAAAGCTATATTTGAACCGATTTTGATGCCTTTTTGTTACAGAAGAAATATGGAAAAAAATTGTTTAGAAAAACACTATTTAGTGTGAAATCTGAAATCTCTACCTAAGAGATTCAGAACTTACTAGTCAGTAGTTCTCATGTGGAGATATTGGAAATTGTACGTCAGAAGTCCGTGAGGACTGTTACCATTTAATTCTCTTTTCTAGAACTTTTTACTGGATTTCATGACTGGTTGAATGTTAAGCGAAGTTAAAAAGTATCAGTCGGTTTTGCCCAACAGGTGTATGCCTCAGTCAATATTCGATTATAATTTTATTTAAATATATTTTGACTTCTATTATGATTATTCAAATTGTTGAGTCTCTATGAAGTAGGTTCTTAAAGAATGGGCGAATATTGTCCATTTCGTATCGAACCAAGATAAATGGAGGATATTGGTTACTTCCTTCAAATTATATGAGATATGTGATAATTTTTAGAAAATACTAAAATGTGCGGAGGTACATCTTCGCATAGATCTTGTGTTGTTGTTGTATGTATGAAGAGAGTTGGAAGCTTATTTCGCCTTCTTTGGGCGTTTAATTTTTCAAAGCTTTGAGCCCTTTGTGTGGGAGATACCAGAAGGAATGGTCCGATCTCTTGCATCTTTATAACAGATCTTGTGTTGATAGAAATATTGAGATGTACCAAGTCTGAATGGAATCGGATGTTAATTTTGGGTTTTATGAGCTTCATGGAAATTCACAATTTTTACCATTTGTGGGGGAGGTATCAGAAGGAGTGGACCGATATATCCCATAGGAACATTATTCACCGAAGTTGTTTCAAATTTCGTATTTAGAATTCGTAATGGGTACTACAGCCTATAAAAAAATTGCGTATGCAGGTTCACGTCTTCGTATAGCCTTCAAATAACGTTACCTCCCAATATTCGGTATTTTGATTATTTTAGCAACATTATTTACCGGAGTTGTTTCAAATTTTGTATTTAGAGTTGGTAATGGGAACTACAGTCCAAGCCACATGGGAAATTGTCTATGCGGGTTCAGGTTTTTGTATGGGCCCCTTATATCGGTACCTCCCTATATTCAGTATTTTAAAGATTTTAGGTACAATATTCAACGAAATTGTTTGAAGTGTCGTATTTGAAGTTCCTAATCGGTACTACAGCCTGTGACAGAAAACCGCCTATTCATGTCCAGGTATAGGTGAAGGTATAGCCCCGATATAAAGGTGCCTTCCTATATTCGGTATTTTGATAATCTTAGCTAAATTATTCACCGGATTTTTGTTTATTAAGTTCCGAATTTGAATATTCAAAAAAGCTTATGACAAAAGTTGTAGGTCCACTTCTTCATATAGACCCCAATATAATGGCTATATTAGGTTTTTAACAGAATTTTTAAGGGATGGTGGAGGGTGTTCAATGTTCAACCCGGACGAACTTACTGTTTTTTTTTTACTTGTTAATACCAAAAGTCGATTGATCAACAGTGGACTTACTTATCCCTACTCTGGTAAGTCGTTGGAGAGCGTAGTTACAATTATAGAGCGAACGTTAATGAAATTTTCGTAGCCAATCAATGAGACGTGAGAACACGGTAGCATTGCGTGAAGAAGTATAAATTATGGACCTTCCTTGTATTTGCA